CTCAGGCTGGGCTCCTACTTGTGATCCTCATGCCTCAGCCTCAGAGAGCCCGGATTCCAGGCATGCACCTAGCTCTCCCAATGTCTTTATTCATTTTTTTAAAAAATTTTTTTATGTATTTTATTTTTTTGTCTTTTTGAGACAGGGTCTTGCTATGCAGTTCAGGCTGGCCTTGAGCTCACTTTGTAGACCAGGCTGGTCTCGAACTCACAACAATCCTCCTGCCTCAGCCTCCCTACTTCTGGGATTATAGGTATGTGCCACCACGCCCAGTCTTTAGGCTGGAGGCTGTTTTAACCTTTTCATTTAATTATAAATAATCTCATCAAGAACAGATTGAGAAGAACAGAAGCACGGCTGTAATGCCAACACTCAGGAGGCTGAGGCAGGAGGATCCCTGTGAGTTTCAGACCAGCCTGGGCTACAAAGTGAGCTCAAGGTCAGCCTGAACTGCATAGTGAGACCCTGTCTCAAAAAGAAAAACAAACAAAAAAATCAAACAAAACAAAAACCAGAAGACAAACTTGTAAGGCTCCAGCCGGACCTGATTCTCCCAGCCCCAGCCTGCTTGCTAGCAGAAGCACTACTCTCTGTGGAGAACTCAGCTCCGTGCTGAAGTTGTCATCAGCAGGCTGGACAACGTGGAAGAGATAAGACAGGACAAGGAATTTGGCAGGATGTGGGACATCTGGGGACATCTGGAGACACCCAAGAATTTACACCGAAGCTTCAAGGACTGTAGCCACGGAGGTGCAAGACTGCCAGAGACGTTTGACCACAGATGTTCACTGGGATCTTCCCCCTGATGTGCCCTGCCTTCTCTCCATCCCTATAATGGGACGCACTTCTCTTTGTTCGGTGAGAGGTCTTATCACGCTCTCTGCCAGCCCGCACCCAGGCACAATAAATTCCACGCCATGTTGCCTTTACACAAGCCTGGTGGTCTCTGCTGGTCCCTTCGCATGTGTTATGTATGTTATAAAACTCACTTACACTAACCTAGACATAACATTTCCACCTTAGGGCTGGGGATTTAGCTCAGCGGCACAGCGCCTGCCTGGCAAGTACAAGGTCGTGAGTTAGATTCCCGGTACCGGAAAAACAACAACAACAAAATTTCCATGTTACATTTTGACATATTTGCTCTTGATCTCTACACTAAAATGACAACACTAAAGCATTAACCTAGCATAGTGGTGCATGCCTATAATCCTAGTACTCTGGAAGGCTGAGGCAGGAAGGTCGAGAGTTTAAAGCCAGCCAGCAAATTAGCAACTTAGTGAAAAACCTATCTGTTATGGTTTTTGTCTGCATTTCCCCCCAAATCCTCATGCAGTCATCCGCGGCTTCTATGATTTGTGATTGATCCATGATTCAATGCTGGGATTATGGGGGTGAGTGCCACGCCTGCCCTGGGGTGGGTAGTTGGCATACAGTGTAAGAGAGGGAAAGAGGCTGCTTGCCGCTGCTCCCCCCTTTTGCTCTTGCTGTCTTCCACCATCATCAGTGGTTGCCCTCTGCCATGTGCCACTCTGCCTTGGAGCCAGCCCAGTATGGACTAAAACCTCCACAGACTGTGAGCTCAATAAACTTTTCCTTCCTTAATTTTGGGCGTCAGGGATTTTTGTCTCAGCAATGAGAGAAAAGTAACCAAGACACTATCTCATAATTTAATTTTTTTTTTTTTGTCTTTTTGAGACAGGGTCTCACTATGCAGTTCAGGCTGGCCTTGAGCTCACTTTGTAGCCCAGGCTGGCCTCGAACGCACAATGATCCTCCTGCCTCAGCCTCCTGAGTGCTGGGATTACAGGCGTGTGCCACCACGCCCGGCTTGACTTTTTATAAATAATTATTTTTGGGACCATCCAGAGGTTATAGATAGCGAGTGATTGACCAGGTGGGATCCCCGGCTGCTTTCCTGCCGCCTCCGGGTGGGCTCAGCTGTCTCCCAGCCGCTGGCCCCTGAGCCCTGCCCAGGACAGAGCCTTCCAACCCTGGAGTCCAAGCTCCTTGGGAAGCAGGCGAGGCCCAGGGGGCGCTGTCTCTGGTCCTGAAAATCCCCGTCGGCCGCCAACCAAAGTAGAGTCGCCCGTCCAAGCCTTTCCTGTTTTTCTTCGATATATGGATATATGCCGGCCCGGGGATTGTGAATTAACAGTGTCCACGCCCTGGGAAGTGGCCCAAGGTTCCAAGAGGACAGCGGAATGAGGAAGGACACATGGGGACCCCTGGAGACAGGCACCATGGGTCCCGACACCTCATGCAAGCCAGTTACAAAGGTGAAAACAGAATATGGCCGCCCAGGTTGGTGGCACAATCCCAGCTACTCAGGAGGCTGAGGCAGGAGGACCTCAAATTTGAGACCAGCCTGGGCAACTGAGATCCTGTCTCAAAATAAAAGGGCTGGCGATGTAGCTTAGTGGTAAAGCCCTCGCTTGCATGCACGAGGTCAAGAGTTCCATCCCCGGTACTAAAAAGAAAAAAAGAAAAGAATTTGGCCGAGGCTGGCCTCAAGCCTTTACACAAGCCTGGCGGTCTCTGCTGGTCCCTGTATGTTACATATGCTAGAACACTGCCATGTCTCTCCCCAAACCACCCCCGGCTCTGAATGAACTTATCCCATCGTCCTTGACGCTTTCTTTTACACACACACACACACACACACACACACACACACACATATATACATAATGGGATATTTTCATTGGTAGATATACAGATCCTTCCCCCCCCCCCAATACCGGGGATTGAACTCACGACCTTGAGCTTGCCGGGCAGGCGCTGTGCCGCTGAGCTAAATCCCCAGCCCAGGAAGATATACATACTGATCACATGCACAGGAACTTGTAAATGTACATGATGCATCTTGCTTCTTCTGTTTTTCCCATTCCCCTCCCCTCCCTCTGACCCTCCTTGTTCACAAAAGCTTTGCTTCTGCTTTTCCCTTCTATTCTCTTTTTTTTCTTCCTTTCCCCTCCTGCTTGCTAGTTCCCATCCCCATTTGAACATTTTCTTCCTATTTCCCAATAGTTAGTCTACATCTTGGTCCTTATTTACACTTTTTCTCACACCAGAGAAAGGACGTGATATTTGAATGTGTGTCTGATATATTTCACTTAAAGTGTGGCATCAAGGTGCATCCATTTAGCTAGATGTCTCAAGTTTATCCTTCTTCAGGGCAGAGTAGTACTCCATAGCATTAAAAACTCACATCTTCCTTCTTTATCCTTGCTGCTTTCTTTGTCTCTTTAGTTGTGCTAACCTGGACGCCTTGATGTCCTGAATTAATCCCAAACTGCTGGGGACCACAAACTATAAACTGAGGCTAGGCCCGGAGGCCTTGAAAGAGCACTCAATGGCACAGTGATGCTGTGATGACCCAGCGAAAGACTGTAGCAGCTGAAGCGTCCTGACTCCTGGAGAACCCAGGAATCATAAAAGTAGGGTTTCAGCTGGGGGAGCGGACAATCTCCTTAACCTGCCATCTCTCCGCACCATCCTCATCAACATAAAGACCCTCATTAGCACACGGTCAGCGCAGCCGTCTGAGTCACCCGAGGACCCCTCCGGTGATCGTGTGCACCCAATAGATACTGGCTGGCTCGGGGGAGCGTCTCTGTCCCGGCCCATTTGGAGGCACTGACCTCCGAACCCCCCCATTCATGCACCACCAAATTTGCCTGTGTTTCTGTCTCACCCTTTCACCGCACCCCTCATACAAGCCGTTGGGGATCTTGGCCAGGTCCTGATTCCAAACACCCGCCTTTAACGGTCACTTTGATTTACTTTAGGGAAGAGCTAGAAACTGCAAGATGCCAGCCCGGTGGGTAAGGCGGTGAATAAAGTGGATGCGGGCACGGCTTCATGTTTTTACGAGCTTGCATTTCCCTTGAGTGGTACTGGGCTGCAGCACTCTCCGTTTTTTTGAGCACACCTAGTAAAGATCCTCGGGAAAAAGGACTCCGGAGCTGGCACAGAAAGCGGCGGGAGCCTGGGGTGAGCGCCGGAAGCGAAAGGAGGGCGCGCGGGGTCGGGGTGTGTGTGTGTGTGTGTGTGTGTGTGTGTGTGGCAATGCAGCCACACCGTCATACACCTTAAGACTGTGAACGTTCACCCTGTCTTTCTTTCTTTCTTT